TAATTTTCATAATTTGTGCACCTTTTATCATAAGTGAAATATGTTCTCGAGTATTCCAAACACCCGTAACAGAATCTTTACAAACTTGCCCAACACGATGAATATCAAGTTTAAACCTAATTTTTAGTGACCATTCAGCATATACATTTTCAGTAATGAATTTAGATAAAGCATATCTGTTAATCATTGCACTTGAAATATCGTGAGGTAATTCATCTTCTTTAACATTTGTTTTTGATCTAATAGTTGTACTAATACTTGATGTAAAATTAAAATGAACATTTTGATGATTAGTATATGCTTCACGAGTGAGCATAAGAAGATGAACGGTTCCAGCAATACTATCACGTTCAAAACTTGAATTTTATTATTAAAATCCAATCTCCAAGCAATGTGGTAAATTTGTGTTACTTCTGTACAAGTTTTAAATAAATCTTTTCGGTTTGTCTAAACTTCGACTCACCCAAATCACTTGGTAAAATGATAATATGTTCTTTGGATAATAAAGAAGAATCTAAATGACGTTGTTCAAATGAATCTTTTAATCAAGACCATCTATGATTTTCATCTGAAGCTCTCACCAAACAGTAAACTTTATATACATTTTGTTTATTTAATAAATCACAGAGAATAAAAGATTCAAGAGATCCAGTAACACCTGTAATAAGAACCGTTTCACCATTTTTTCATTTACGATTCCATTAATTTTATCAAAGTTATCCACAGGAGGGAAATTATTAGTTGCACTATATTTTTGAATATATGAGTTCACTTCATTTTTAAGAGCCTGTAATTTTGCTTCGTAACTGTCTTCAGCATTTTGACCTTGTGGAGAGCTGATTTTTGATAATTCTTTTATCAAATAATGATTAAGACTTTGGAATATATTATATTCGAAAATAATATCATGAGGAAGATAGATAACCAAAAATTGGTTTTGAAGAATAGCTCATAATTTAGTTGCAGATAAAGAATCTAAACCAATAGCAAAGAATGAGAGTTCGTCATTGTCAGTTAGTGAAAATGAATCTCCAATAGCTGATTTAAGGGAATCTAATAAAATGGATTTTACAGAATCTTCATTCCATTGCTTATTAGAAAAAGATTTATTATTTGAGACAGTTTTAGCATTTACAAAATTATCATAAAGCATTTCAATTACATCTTTAAATTCTATTTCAACTTTCTTATGTTGAACATTATTTTTAAGGGTACAAGCAATTGTTTTTTCTTCAAGAGGTAAGATATAAACCATTTCATTAAAGATTCATAAATGTGATGGACAGTTATTATTAGCTTGATGTACAGAATCAAAGATACTTTTGATAATATCTAAAAAAGGAGTCAATTTGATATTTTCATAATCAGGTTCAATCAAAAAACAATTGAATGGTCTATTAAATCTAACGACGACTACTTGTTTAACAAATTGATTAAGGCGAATTGTATCTTCAATCAGTATTGGATTTGACTTTTCTCCAGTACTATGAACAATTGTATTATCGGCTCGACCAAGTAAAAAACAAAACCGGAACCTTTTGGAGTTTCAAGAAAGAGATTACCTACTCAATAGCCACCATTCTCAGTATTTCCTTTAATACTTGAAAGATTTAGAGATCCTTTTTTTATAATTAATTCTTTTGCTCCATCAAGAAAATCATTCCTTTCTATCCATTCTACATAACTTTCTGGTACTGCTAATTCCATTGTATTCCATGGGATATCAGGTGAAAAATTTTTAGAAGTTTTCATAACAACTCCTGTTTCAGCTAAACCATAAATGGATTGGACATTAACGCCAAATTGAACAAGCTTCTCACCTACTTGAGGTGATAATGCAGCACCAGCATATATGATAGAACTTAATTTTATTAATTTCTTTAGGACAATTTTTATAAATTTGTTCAATAATAGCGGGTAAAGTATAAAAAACATTAGCTTTAGATTGATTTAAACTATATAAAATTTCGTTTGTTAAAGGAACCGATCCTGAGACGATTGGAAATACATATACAGAACCAGGATAGAAAATAGTGGTTATTGAAACAATCATTCCAAAAATGGAGCGGTTGTCAAGACAATATCACTAACTTTATCTCTTTGCTCCAAAACCAAGAAATTAAGAGAAACTAATTTAGGAAATGAGGTTGAACCGGAACTATGAAAAATGGCGATAACTTTTTCATAAGAATCATCATCTAGTTTTGTAACAGGAGCTGAACTATCGATGTTTTCAATGTTTTCATTCTTTAAACTGTTAGGAATTGGAAAAATTTCAAGCTTTTGTAAATGTTGAGAACATATTTCACTTTGAGCACTTTTGGAGATTTTTGAAAGTTGAGAATTATAGATGAGAATACGGATTTAGCTTCTTGAAGTAAATGAATTAAAGCAGGTTTGGAATTTCGAGGACTAAGGAATAAAATTGTAAAGCCTAATTTCCATAAAGCCATTAAGTTATACAAGTATTCAGGGCCACTTTGTGAGAAGTAGCCAATTACGCTGTCTTTCTCCAAATTTTCACTCTCCAATTGTTTACTCCAATAATTGGCGTATTTATTGATAATAAGATCATAGTCCTGATAATTGATTTCTTCATATTCTATACCATTTGGGACCATAAGAACTTTTCTTTTGGTCTAGTTGATACAAGATGTTGAAAAACCTTTAATAAACTTTGGTGTTCGTGGGACATTTTGTTTTTTGATTACAGGAATATAAATTTGAGTATATAATAGAGGTTTTGTTTATAAAATTTGAGTCACGATATTGTTCTTTGAGTTTTTTGTTCATACTTCACTCGTAAAGCATGGTAATTTATAATTTTTTTTTAATGGCCAAGGAAATTTTAAAATCTGTTTGCCGCCTACTTAGAATAAACTATTCAAACTTTACAGTTTCTTAAACGAAGAAATATATATGTAAAGTGTCGCCAGATAAATGTAAATCAGATAAATTATAAGTGTCGCTAGATAAGTGTAAATCGGATAAATTATAGCCGTATGCACAATCTCATATCAGAATTGGATTTTCATGGGAATCTAAAATGTAAATTTTTACGTATTATGACGTGGGTGGGCAATATGATGCACTTGTGTTTTTTGATGATATACTGCGATACACTGATTAGAATTAGTATCATTCGATTCGTCATACTGAGACAAATCATAAACATAAAAATTTTTTTGATTCTAATTGCTAAAATACAAGATAGAAGTAAAAGTTGATATTTTTTATGATAGTATTAAGTTTCTTTTAATTTTTCCTCATTGAGTAATGTCCAGAGGAAGGATGCAACAGTAATACTATACGAAATATATAGTGATACATAGCGCGACATAATGTAAAAAACATAGCATTTTTTGATGTCGAAAATCCGCCGATATGCGGAAGATCTTTTGCCTAACTACGTAACGGTAATTTTATGTTTTTAAGTTACGCCTCTCTATACTAAACCTCTATATACCAAATAGAGACTGAACTTATTTAAACCTGTAATTCATGAATTAAGTACTCAATCATCTCCCAAATGAATCTGTTGCCTAGTTTGATTTTTCAAATTTCTATTATCGTTATTTTGACTCGCGAATCTCAAATTATGTGATATTGGATGAAACTAATCACATCACTGATAAGTGTGGCTATATAGCCAACAGGAGGAAATGTTGATGTTACATACCTGATTTTACACATGGTGCATAAAAAAATTATTTTACAATACTTGATCGAATTTGATCAGTCAGCTAGTACATGTTATGATTATAATCCAACACCATTATAAAAGGTCAGTGATGGTCATAAATTTGAATATTTTTATGCCATTTACTGGTGATCAAATTTACAGCAAGAGTATAAATATATAAAATACCCAATAGCAGATTATACAGAATGGTTTTCAAAATAGGCATTTTAGAAATTACAGAAGATCTGGATAGTTGAATGACCAAATTATATGGTAAATTTGTAAATCAAAAAAAAAAGAAAATATCACTACTACAAATTATCTGTCGTCATACAATATGAAGAATAACCCACCCTTATTTTCAACTGTAGCTATAGATTTCAAGTCACATGCTCTATAAGAAATTGCAGCACAGAATGATACTGCAATACACGAAAAAGTTTGGATATGGGACCACATGAACCTACACGTAAATATATACGAGACAATGTATAGAAAAGCACATTTACAGCACGCAATTAGGCACGAATTCTGTGTAACAGTGCATATACTAATGTGCAATTTTATATGTTTTTCCGTGCATTGTCTTATGTATATTTATGTACAGGTAACACATAATAACATATATCTATATATATATCTATAATAACATATATCCATATATATATTTAAATTTATTATTTATTTAATTGACCTGTGGGTCGATAGCATAGCGGTTATGCTCCCAGGTTACAAATCGTAAGGTTGCTGGTTCAATTCCTTCTAGTGGTGAAATAATGAAAAACCAAATATGGAAGTGAAACACCGTGGGTACAGGGAGCCCAGGATATCTACGGATAGACGTATTCGGTGAAGAATTATTCCAAGAAGCTGTGGCTGTGAAGAAAAGCCATGCTAGAACCCCGATTTGAAATAACCGAAGTCACGAGATGTAATGTGAGGTCTAAAAGTCTGAGAGGGTACTACATGAACTCGTGGCGCTACCCGATTGGCTCGTGAAATAGCAGTCCAAGGATAAAGTGTTTTGGCCTCTCCAGAGTGTCGTGCAGGTGGTCGGACCTAGGCCCCAATGAGGGAACCGGGGAAATGTTGGACAATGGATACCAGGTGGATACACATGATACCCGTATGGGGTTATGGAGGTCCTGTGACACTAGTAGCGTAAAGTCATCTATAATATAGCTGGACCAAAGTCATGACTAGACTTGCCGAAAAAATAAAAAAATAAAAAAGTTTGAATTGCTTATAAGCTAAAATAAACAAATTTAGAAAAAAATTTTAATCAAAAAAATAATTTACAAATTCTTGACAAACTCTTTAAATATTAATTTTAGGTTTATAGTTTCTAATACAATATTGTAGTTTGTATAAAGGATAGCAACTTTCATTATTACATCTTTAGTAATTTACTTATAAAAATTATGACTTGTATTAGAAGTAAAAATTTTTTTAAAGGCGAAAACATATAAAAATTTAGAAAATTTAAAGAAAAATTTAATAGTAAAAATTTTTAAAGTAAGAGCTTTAAACTTTTATTACTCTAAAGATTTTTAGTAAAATTAAAAAATTTCCATAATAAAGCTTATAGAATATGTTTTAAATAAAGTATTGTATAATAATTTTTAATTTTATTTAAAAAATTGTAAATACTTTTCAAAATTCCAGGCAAATTTGTCTGGAATAAAGTTTAAGGGATAGTGTATTACCAATTATAGTGCAATGTAATATCTTGTAACTTACTAATTGGATTTGCACAATTTTGGTACCAATCAATTCATCTTGATAAGATAAATTGATTGATGGTAAAATTGTATAAACTGATTACTAGATTATAAGATATTTTTTTTTTTTTTTTTTTTTTTATAATTTAGCAATTTTGCCTTCACTTTATTAGGCTTTGTAATAATTATCTGAACTATTAAAATTTTCTACAAAGTTATACTTTGTAGTACCTAAATTACAAGTAGAGACTTACCCTGTTGCTTATTGAGTACCTATGTGTGATTTGCTATAGTAAGCTTCACCTCTGTATTATCTTATTCTGCAATTGGCTTCAATAATACGTCACTAGCTGAATCTTACTGCCCGTCAAAACTACAAATTAGTTTTCTACCAATCTGCCTGTTGTTCTTCTTCAATCCACCTTACAACTTCTTTTTTAGTTATCTCTAAGATTGGAACCTATCTTTTATCCTCTTCTTTATTTTTATCTTTTTCTTTTTTCCTAGTATGTTTATCTAGTGGTTTCTTTTTCTTTTTTTTTTTCTTTCTTGCCTTTTCATACAATCTTCTTTTATTTCTTGGTGTAATTCCATTTTTTTTTTCCTATTCCTGCATGAGTTTGCATCTTGCAACTCATATTCTTTCGTATACTTCTTTCATTCAATTTTTCCAAAGTCTACCTAGAAAGCTCTTTGCTTGGTTATTCAAGTTGAAGAGAGGTCTCAACTCATCGAAGTCTTCTTTTGTGATTAGGCCTCTAATCCATCTTTCTCTTCTACGTAATTCTTCAGTTTGGGATTCTTTTTCTAGTATTGTTAAGACTTCTTCTTTGGTTGTCTCCAAGTTTTCTAACTTTTTTAATTCAAACAAGGTTGCTTCTACTACTTGCTCTTCCAAGTTTCAGAGAAGGTTCAGGAAAGTTTCGCAATTCACTAGATATTCTACATTCTCTTTCTTTTTTCTACATATAACACATTTGTCTGTCTTATATATTTCTAGCCTTCTCTGATTAAGTTTTTCAAACACTGGGAGCATATTGTTTATACACTTTATTTCAAAGAGCTGTAGTGTATTTAATTTGAAGGTGTGATTTCGTTGTCTGGTTCTACTCCTTATTACGTTGCACAGCATAAACCAAGATTAAGTGCTTTTTCTTTCTTGATGAGTTTTATTATGTGTGTTATATAAGAAAGCTCATTCTGCCTTCAATAACACTCTCTCTATCATTTTAGTAAAGGAACGAATAGGCTTTTTAACTAATTTACCTTCCCACATGTATCTTATTTTGTGACCTTTTGTATATAATATTTCTGGGTTTAGGTACTCCATTGACTTAAAGCTTTCAAATCTGCAAAATCATTGAATATATCATCTGAGTGATCCTTGATTTTTATAAAGTGTGTGTTTAGCTCTTTTGTCTTGATCATCTCTACAATTGTTGTTACCAAACCACAATTCTTAATCTTTAGCCAAGATCTTATCTTGCCTATCTTTAGGCCTCTTTTGATTGCTAATATTGCTGCCTTACTATCCGTTTTTATCTCTACTCTCCTTCTACAGGGTGTAGTTAGTAATGTGAGTAATATTGCTACCATTTCTGCTCTTGTAGATGAGAACTACCTTCTTGTTGTACATGACATTTGTTGCACTAGCTGACCTGTTTCTGTAGTTTGAATTACTCCACATCTCATTACTAGTTTTTCTTCCTCTTTAGCAGTATCAAGTGAGCCATTTGTATAGAAAAATAGGCTATCTAATACTCTATTTTGTTCTAACCTTACTGCTATTCTAGATCTAATTACATTATTCTGAACTATACTATTAACTAAAACCATTTCTCAACATTCACACCCTATATCTATTTTATCCTTCTCTTTTATTTTTTTCATTTCTTTCGCTTTAACAAGCATTTTCTTTTCCTTTTTACCAACTACTTCTATATATCTTTTTTTGAAAATCAACTTCGTTCTCTTTTCTGTTTTCTGAACTATGTTTGAAATGTCTCTAAGTTTTCTATGTTTAACTATGTACATTTTACTTTTTTCATCAATTTCTAATAACTGCTGCATTTTGTTTTCATGACAATATGTTTTTTCTTTGTATTTTTCAACTTCTATATATATATCTTCTTTTTTTTTAACCTTTCTTACATTAACCGATACATTTGCTTCATCTCTCCAGCAAACCTATTCTTTTATTCTTTTGTCAGTACTTGGTTCTTTTGTCTCTATACTAAGTGCATTAATATTATTTGCTATGCAATTATATCTATTTTTGACTACTTGTGTAAGAGGATTTTCTAGCATTTCTTTTTCTAATTTAGCGAACCAGCCTGCTTTTTTTTCTTTTAAACTCTTGCCTTCTGTTATTTTGACTTGCTTCCATATATGCATTGTTTTGCTATCTTTTGCAATAAGTTGTGAGACCAAATTAAATCCAGGCTGCTCACTTTCGTTTCCTCATACACCATGTTCAAACACTCGAAGACACATGCAATCTCTTCATCATTCACTGCTTGTGTGATATCTAGATTCCAACTTTTTGTGATTTTATTTTCTTCTATTAAAAAGCCCAGAGTGTGTGCTTGTTGCAAGATATTTATGTCTAAGTTGTAACCTTTTGTTTCTTTTTTTGCTAGTGCATTCTGGTTTGTTAAAATATAGTTCAAAGATCCTGCTTTTAACTGGCCTTGCTTAAGCTTTCTTGTCAATGACTCTTCTAATAACCCTGATATATTTAGTCTTACTAGCAACTCTGAAATGTGATACTCCATATGTCTATTCCAGAGACTTTTGAGGTCTGTTATTTCTGGGTATTTTGTTATTATATTCGCTATCATGAAAGGTATCGACATTTTCTATTTTATTAGATGAATTATTGGTTGATATATTCTCTCACACTGTACTTTAGATTATTAATCTATACTCTAGAGTAGGTATAAGAATTGTATTGTTTACATATATGATTTGGCTCAAAGACATCTGTTTGTGCTTGAGTAGGCCAGAACCCGGACATCTCTAATATAGGTCGTATTTGGATTTTGGCCGATTTGGCCTAATTTGCTAAAAACTAGAATTTTGCTTTTTCTTAAATATCTCCAGACCTAGTGATTAGAATT